CCCCACCCTGTACATCTATGTCTCCTGACAAGCCAAAAAAAGTCCAACATAATTTACGACTCCGAAATAATTTTACTATTTGCTCTCTCCAAATTATTACAAAATAGATATTTCTGTAAACTTCGGACCGCATCTGCCAAAATTAGAAGAGAAAATGATAATCGATCCACTAAAAACATTCAGAGGCCGCCATATCACGGCCAAGTTAATTTAGATAACAGAAACTGAACCTGCCAATTTATCAAACTCGGGTCTGTTGTGGCTTTTGTCCATGATCTCCAAGAATAAAATTTTTATGAACCATGCGATTTTATACCCACTCTGTGTACACAACTGGCCCAAATGTTTATACCAACAGCAATTTTACAAAAATATTTTAAGTGCCGCTTTATTGTTAAGCAAACAATGAAAATATTACCATAATGGATTCATTTCGTGTTGACGAACGTAAGTTATGTGAAAACACGTTGGATGGAAATTTTATTTAAATTACACTCAGATAGTTAAAATTTGATGGCTTGGTTTCGGTCTTTGTGTTTACGCTTAGATGCTTTGTTAATGATATTTTTGTCGTTAGTCATAAGGATTGTAAAAGTCCGATTGAGCAATTATTTCAAAGTGGAGATCCTTCGACCACAAAGTCGGCGTTTTCTTTTATTCCGAAATTTGGACGAAGAAAGTCCAAGTAAGGAAAACTCTTGAAAAACAAATAAAATTTCGAATGTTGAAATCTTAGTCATACGACTGTCGATATATTGTACTAATTTTTCATGACACGCTTAAAATCCACAATAAAAATGGGTATTAACGTTTCCTTCTGATAAAGCACATGACACAAGTATGACAAATGTCAAATTTATGCACCGGTGACAAATTTTATAATTTAACGCAAAATTAGACACAATGATACCATAACATTTATAATCACACTTTATAAAAAAATACGAAGTGTTTTCTGTTGTTGTTTACTTCACGTGTAGATAATTAAACCGCATTCAAAATTGCACACAACGTTGTTTTTTATCATTTTAATGAGTGTGTTGTAAACAATTATAGCAATGCCAAAGTCTAAGTAACAATGACATATTTTCGATTAGAAAAAAGTTACGCATTGAGAAGGCGAGAAATTTTGGTTCCAAATCAAAAAAGAAAGTGACTACATGGCTAGTTCGCTTGTTGAAGACAATTATGACGTAATTTGGAACATTTTCATGGAATGAACGCTTGTTAAATCCCATTAAAAAATTATTCGTTAGATACATAATACCCTGGTATCGGAAAAAAAGTTATAAAATCAGAATTGGCAATTTTGTTCTGTGCAAACTTACGTCATGGTCGGAGGTCGAAATGCAATAATTTGAACAATTAAACATTAAAGTCGAGTTTTGCCAGTTTCAGTTCGATTCCAACTATATTAACGGTGAAATTGGATCAAACAAAGACGCTACAGACGAACCTGTTTCAAACCGTTGCAAACCACCTGGGCCGCTGGTCAAAACAGTATTTCGAGTGGTCCCTATTGAGAATTAATAGAAAACTTTTCCCTCACAACTATCTCTTTGAATGACGTCGATATAGAACAAAAAAGTGACTTAACTTTAATTGACTTGGAAGCCCTGAAGTCCAAATCGTACACATTTTTCAGTAAAAACAGCCAAATGTTAAAATTATATAAGAGTTTATTTTAAAGTGAGTTAAGTAAATTGACAATTTGTACATTTGCGGTTGTCAGTACTCGTACTCGGATGCTATTTTTGTTTGTATTGTCTATTTCAAGCATAACCTAAAAACGTAACTACTAAGTGTGTTGGGAACACTAAAATTAAAATTGTTTATTAAAAAAAATGAATCCGGTGTACTTTATGTCAGCAACAATTAACCCGTGAAGCGCTCACAAAGATTTTTTTGTCACACCGTTTAGTGAAATCATGTCGTGGGATCACTCAAAATCGTTTTTAATAACTGTCATATTTCTATAAATACGTGCACATTTGAACGACTTTCAAATTAGAATAACTAAAAGCCAATTTTTCACTGTACGTGTAAATCACCTGTAATCCTCAAAATAAAATAAAAGTTTTTCTTTGCGTCCACGCCGCCCAAGCAAAAAAATCTCCGGAATTTTTCCCTAAATTATTTCAGTCTCAACTATTCACTTACGTGCAATGAACGCAAATGATAGCTTCTCGTTACTTAAAACCTCACAGCTAATGCCAAAGACATATTTTCCACCGTCAACGAATTCCTAACATTCAATAGTGCTTCTCGTTGCCAAAATACTTAATTAAAGAACAAAGTTGAAGTCGCTTCTAATAAAACACATACAAATACTTAGAAAAAAAGCGCAGAAAAAGCCACTCCAAGCTCCCCGGAAAAGCATTCCGACACCACTCAAACACGCCCGGAACGCAATAACAACTAATCTCCAATATAGCGCATCGTCGAGTGCCAACACATATTGGATCACCCTGTGCATACGTAATTAAGAAACTATGCGCATTGAGCTAGATTTTCAAAATCGTTGGCATCACTCCACCGAAGAACAGATTATCATCCTCTATTCATCTGCAAAAGTATTTGGCAAAAAGGAGACTCTCGAACAACAGATTTTATTTTTGAACGGCTCGAAAGCGCACATCTTATCAAACTTGCTGTACAAGACGGCGAAGACCTCTAAAGCGGCACCGTAACGGCCACGACTTGATAATTTCATACAACACGAGTGAGTGCGCCAATTTTAATATCCACACACTGTGAACAATCAACAAACCGTGCCATTGACAGTGAAAAATTCAGACTAATTGGCGGAATCGCCACCTGCCGACACGGAGAAAAGAGGCGCCTAGGGGAGGTGCATACAGAAATAATAAAAATAATTAATATATGTTTTACTGATACGTCATTTTCAACGTATTCCACAGCAATGGTTACCTTACATTTTATAATGACTTTTTTCTAGCAAGGTTTCAGTAAAATATGATGTGCCTCAAGGTTCTGTCCTCGGCTCCTTGTTTATTATTGTTATTCCACATCAACAATTTACTAAAACCATTGTTTACATGGGACTACCTTAAATTTAATAACAAAACACTTCTGTAGATAAATATAGAAACGATAATGCTGCAAAGTTGTGGTCTACCGTAATTTGTAAGATTTGCACTATGACTATGCACAGGCTATAGTTTAACTGGACGGAACTGCAGAAAATGGAAAAAATTCTACACCTAAATGAGTACTATGGGAATGAATCGAGACTATCTGAATGAATGAATCTGACCTAATTTAAATTATTTTTAGATGAAATAGCCGTCTTATTTGATGCAAATATGTCCATATTTTCTCATCATTGTGACCCCGGAGACGGCAGAAGATACAAGGTTAATTAATATGGAAAGAAAGTTGATCAATAATGATCAGTCAAGAAACCTATAAATATGTTTGCAATGTAACAATCGAAATATCCACTTTATAATTTTTTTCATGAATTCTGTATTTTTTCTATAAATTTTGTGGTAAATAAAAAAATCAGTTTCATTGTTATTATTATTTTTTTTTAGATTTTAGGCTAATAAACCAGTAGTGTGGGAACTTTCTGACAAAGGAAACTGTGAAAAGAGAAATTTAAATGAAGAGGATACATTCACGTCACATAATTTAAATAATTTAATTTATATAATTTTTAATATTTATTTAGCTATAAAACTAGTTTTCATAGTTATACTAACAAACAGTGGATGTAGATATGTATGCACCATGTGAATTTTTAAATTTCTGCGCTAGTTGGCCATGACGCGTACGTCAGCAATTAAACAACTGAAACGGCTGACGTAGGCGTCATGGCCAACTAGAGCGGAAATTTAAAAAATCACCCGATATGGCCATAGGAAAATTTACATGTTTTTCTTTCCACAGACATCTCTTGTAAACAGTTGTGCAAGGTAGAGAATTTTATTAACGCGTTTTCAGGGTTAATGTTTCGATAAAGATTTATATTTGCGTCATCAATCTTCTGGTGGGGATAAATATATTGATCCTGTTACGCACAATTTAACATTGATCAATCATATTTTTACCCCATTTGACGAAATTAGACGAGTAATCGATAAAAAAAAGTGCGTATATAATAACTTTTTTAAGCACTTTCAATAAATAACAGCTATCACTGAAACTCACGCAATGTCGTAACTAGGGACACATTTTTGAACAAATATGTATCTAAGCATTTTTCGAGGCGGCGTTATCAATTTTCTGGAATCGATGAATAAACGTAAGTTCTGTAATATCTGAGTCATTGGTGTTTTACCAAAGTTTTAAAGTCTGTTATGATCATGAATTTTCCGAGGCAAGCAAAGATGTTTTCTGGAATCGATGAATAAACGCATTTAGTTAAGGTTCTGTAGTATCTGAATCACTGGTGTCTTACCAAAGTTTTAAAGTCACACTGAATTTTTTTGACGCCACATAAATTTCGTTGCATTAGTCGATAAATTTACGTCCGCATTTTTCCTGAAGGTTATAGGTCGCGTTTTTTAAGCAGATAACCATTATATGGAAAACGGTTGACTTACAAACACCGGTATCAAGGAAATTTTTTTTGGGGATTGAAATAACGAAAATTTGACGAGACTAACTTCAATTCGACTAGTAAAACAGGAATGCCATTTCAATGTTGTTCTAATAAGATTGTCAAACTACTGTAAGGACAGTTGTGAAAGCTAAATTAGCGGCGTTTAGCCACAATAATGTAATAGCAATGGCAAATTTCTTGTGTTGCTTATTAGTAAAATTCTAGAACATTTAAAGCTATCTTGTAAGTGAGGCGCTTAAGCTAAAAAAATATATATAAGGAAGTACTTAATAAGAATGAGTGTTTAGCTTGAGGTGGGGCATTTTCAGATAAAGCAACAAAAATTGCCTTAGCTGAAATGCCCCCATTACACAAACAAAAAGTTTTTCGTTGAAATATAGTATCGCGTTCACTTTTCTCAGTGTACACCCACCTGCTGAGGCTAGCGCGTTCTGGTTTTCTTGGACCATGGTGGCGGCCCTCGACAGCACCTCCAAGGGGGATTCTCCGCCCTCCATCTGCAACCATTCCATTATTACAAAGGGTGGTTTTTCTGATATTTTCACGAGACCGTGTCGCACATGGCAGGCAGATGTTGTTCGGAATTCCGACAAAGGGAATAACGCGCCGTTACCCACCACAACGCATTAAAATTTCCCAAGACAGTCGACGAATTCGTTCAATTTATCGAATAAAAATACTTGTTTGGACGAAATGAGCGACAGGGTGGGCCCGCGCTATCGTGGAATTTTGTTTACTAAAGGAGGGAATGTGATGTAACGAATTTATCTCGCAATTTTTTCCAATTTTAATATTTATCTGACTTAAATTATGTTTATTTTATTTATACGCCGTAATGAGATTAATTGCGATGGAAATATTCAACGGAATGTGAGACGGTTAACAATCGTGGAAAAAAATTGGGGAAAACAGTGACCTCAATAATAAAAATATTTCGAATTCCATTCGACAATAATCATTATTGTCAGTTCGGGGGCACCGACAGCGACCAAAACAAAACAAAACGATCAAAATGATTAGTTTATTGTGATTACCGTTAAAAAACAACAGGAAAACTAATAAACAACACGCGGATTCAAGGCAAAAAAATCGAAAAACGCAAAATCGATCGCCTTTATTACAGAACAACCCTAAACCAACTCCATGGGGGAAATCAAACACAAAAACAACTTTCCACCCCAAAAATCAATAATTTTAATCACGTGTAATAACAGGAACATTCGAAACACGACTTACCCTCACGCAAACTAGTGACGAACTTAATAATCACACTTATCTGATGAAAAACTGACTAATTATCCTTTTTTTTCACTGCTATATACACTAACAAGTATAACCGTGCAAAGAATTTGACATTTCGGTCAAACCTGCGATTCTGGTATGATCGGAATCTCAAATATTTACACTGATCCCCTGGCGGAAAACTTGCGTACCACAAGCCGAAATCACACTCCACAAACACAAAAAAATAGCTCAAATACTTCGCAAAAACAGTCGCAAAAATTAACCAACAATCATAAACGACACGAACGAGATAGAAACAAACACAAATGCGAAAACACAGTCGTTTAAGAGACTGAAATAGTTAAAAAAATGTCCCAGAGTTATTTGGTGGGTGTGAACGCGGCTGCGTTTTCATTGGCTCAAATTTTCGCACCGCATCATTGCTTCAAGTGTGGAAGATAGTTTTGAGTACCAAACGCGAAGGGGACGATTGTTTTCGTAGAAGGTGAAGAATCCGATATCAATCATTACTACTACGGCGAAATTGGTGAGCACATGCGCCTCTATAACCTACTTTTTTCGAAATTTAAATTCAAAATGCCACGCAAAGCTTTATTGTTTATTTAATACACACAACCCGTTTTTATAAATATGGTGCTTTTTGTTGTACTTTAATAGCAAATACGAAACATCGAAAGCGAAGGAGGCTTTGGTGTCATTTTTCAGTTCTTCCAACATGGGCGAAATTAATTCTCAAACTCGTTGTCGCTGATTTCTAACACCTGGAAGAAGTCATAATTGTTGATTAATTATATAAATATGTCCGTACGACGTACGTCTATGTAGTTTGCATCATCAAACAGTGCGGTAAGTCCAGTCAGATTTTCTAAGTACGATGAACTATTAAATGTTTCTAGAAGAAATTCAAATCCTTTGGTTTTGTACTCTTCAACCACAATACTGGAGCAAGCAATACATTGTTGGTACTTTGGCGTAGCAGGTAAGACGTGCATGAAACTTGATAAGAAGCCTCGAATTGAGTGGGGTACAATCCCCAAAATCCCTGCATGTTCCTCAGGGTTTAACTCAGAGTGAACCCCGGTTTTGTAGAAAGCAGGGGCGTTAATACCCTCTTCGTGTTGTAGCACTGAGATAGCTAACTCTACTGCTAAAGCTCCAGCTACAGATGATACGCCAGGTCTGGTTACTGTACATTGTTGATCAAGAGTTCTATCTTTCAGTGACTACAAATACATTAAATAATATTTTTTATACCAATGAAAGTGACATACATTTCCTGGTGCTGTGACGTCATTGCAAAAATAGCACCCAAGCTCAGCACCTGGAATTTTACAACTTGCAGAACTCTCCCCTTCTTCCACAATCTCACCATCTTTGCGCCCATATCTCATAATTAAATAAGTATCAAAGCCTAAAGCCACATTAATTACAATTTTATTATAGAAAACCCCTAAAAGTGTAGGCAGCCACCGACTCTCCCTTGAATCAGTCAAGAGAAAAATGAGTTCATGTTCTTGAATGAGATTTTTCAAGTCCTCCACAGTTTGTTTTACACTTTCAAGGGTGTTGTCGCCTACGTTGTGCCCCGGCATTGGTATAGTAAACTGGTGTGCTTGAGCGTTCTAAAACAATCAAAGCCTCACAATTCTATCACAAGTTTCACAATAATCATACAACTGCTGGAAAAATTTTTCGCAAATTATCAGCAGCGGCTTGAGCTTTTGGTTTATTACTAATAGCGTCTTCATAATTGAATAGGTGTTGCCTGACTGGATTTGAGTATGATACTGTAGAATTATCAACAAAAGTAATATGTCTAACGCCCCAGCCCTACAAACAAGACAATTTTATGTGTTTAAATCTATAACGCCGACCATACTAGTAGATTTCTTGCTACAGAACAACCCAAAGTTCCAGCTCCTAGTAAAAGACATTTAGCGTTTCTAATTTTGTTTAAATCTATTTCAGGGAGTAGGCGCCACTTCATTAGTTTCAGGTTCAAATCGACGCTTTCTTCAAATAGTCTGAAACAAGAAAATTAGTTGAATTTTGAGCAGGGTTGTTAGTATACATTTCTGGATCCATGGTTGCTTTCATGTTAGACATTCTAGGCCCGAATTTGTTTTTCTCGTTTTTTTCCCATCCAGCCCATGCGTTTTCGCCACCTCCATAAATAATGTCTTCGATGGAGGTGCATTCAGGTAAAGTTAATTTGTAGATTAAGCTTTCAGTGCAAGATAATTTGCGGTTTAAGAATAACAACAGAAAATTGACACTTTTGCCACTCAAGAAGGGACTACAAAACTATAATTTAATACACATTGGGTGATTTGATAAAACTAACCAGTAATGCAACAACAAAATTATGTAATTTTTTAGTTGAGATTTAGGGTGTTTTCCTTCATTAACAAAGTCAGCAAACGCAAACAAATATTCAGTATAATTTGACACACCAACATCGCCCAATTTTGACTGAAGTGTGTCAATTTTGCTATCTTGAACCAAAAAATACGCCTTCTGATGAGGATCAAGTCTTAGATACTCCTCACCCAAAGCTGCAATCTATTAAAACTGAGTTGTGGCTAAAGTTAGCGTTTTAACTAAACCTGTGCTTCAGAAAAGTGGCTAGAAATTGGTGAAATCTCATCTACTTTTACTTGCAAATTGTAAGGTACTGGAAAGGCAAACCAGTAGTAGAAGTGGTATTTTTTGAGATCCTAAAAACGCTACCTTAGAATACAAACAAAAATGCAGAAGCAGCATTTACACTAAATGACAGCACAAAAAAGAAATTAAGCTTTGAAGGCGTTTCCAAAACCTTCCCGCTTTTCAGATCGTCCAAAAATTGTCTACCTTCTGCATTGATTAATTTTGTTTTATCGCAGTCTTTAAACTGTTCGATGGTGTTCTTGTTGAAGATTTTGCCATGAAATGGAATGTTATTATTTTGACTATTGAAAGTTCTGTAATGAATTAGGTAAATTAAACTGCATGTATTGCTTGACGGGATTACGAATTAAATGAGGTGCTGTCCACTTCTACAATATGTGTAGTCCAAGTCGTAGGTATGTTGGAGAAGAAGCCACAAATCTCACGTTCTTTATCGTTGAGTTTGTCAACATTGATTTTCAGCTCGGATAATTTGTTCCAAAAACTGGGCTGGACAAAAGACGAAAGAGGTACGAATTGCAAAAGAGGTTTTTCTGAAGTCATAACTACAGGTTTATTGAACGAGTGGAATTGACAGGTGATTGACAGTACATAACCTCAAAATATGAAATGACAAAACAATTACATTTTTTATTATAAATAACTTGAGTTTTCTTTGAATTCTCAATGATTAGTAGAAAAGTTGCTATTTTATTTTATAAAATTTCAATTCAATGTGTATAAATTGTTACATAAGCGCGTTTAATTGGTGGCCTATATATTTTTGTTTTTTCATGTTATAAATTGGTTTAAAATTTTTTGCGGTTTTCCGCTTTGAATAATTTGTTTAATGTAAAAAATGAATTTTCCTAAGTTTCGTATGGAAACATAACCTTTGAATTTTATGTAAGACTACCCGGAATTACCATGCTTTTTTCGTTGTATGGTATAGTTAAATTCTTTTAATTTAGAATTTTTTTAGAATATGTAACAATTATTCTTATGTTACAGTTTGCCTAGGAAGACCGTCACTTATTGTAAGATTAATAATAGTCAATCCGGCACGTGGTTATTTAATTGTCTGATGGTCGCCTGAGAACTTGTTTGATTTACAGACCAGAGCGCACTCAGGCCAATGTCGACTCTAAGCATTCAGAAACGATTTGATCTATAAGCCATGTTCCGTGATCTCATACACATCCTAACCGGTTTCGACCATAATTTCTACGGGAAAGAATTGCTTGTTCGGACTTATGGATATGTGAACATTTTGGTAGATAGATGTGTTAGTTATTGACATGCAATTATTTTTTGTTTAATTAAGAAATATTGAATTTTAATGCTCGACATCGAGATTTTTCGATTTTTCGTCATTTCGATTTCTTGCTTATTCAACTTTCGAGTTCCTAATTTTTCGAAATTTTACTTTTGGGATTTTTCAGTTTATTCATTATTCAATTTTACGATTTCTCAATTTTTCGAAGTTTCAATTTTACGTTTTTCTAATTTCTCTCTTCAATTTTGCGATTTTTAAATATTTCGATTTTTCAATTTTTCAAATATGACTTATAAACTCTCAGTTTTTCAATTTTTAGGTTTTTGATTTTTCAATTTTTCAATTTTTTAAGGTTTTGACTTTTCGACTTCACTTTTTTGACTTTTTGATTTCTCAATTTTTCAATTTTTTAATTTTTCAGTATTTGGATACATATTTCAGTTTTGAGATTTTTCAGTTTTTCAATTCTTCAGTTTTTCTTTCATTTTATCAATTTTTCGAAATTTCAGTTTTGGGATTTTTCAAATTATTTTTTCGATTTTACAATTTCCCGATTCTTCGACTTTTCGATTTTTGATTACTGGATTTCTCGTTGTGTCGATTTTTGTACTTTTTCGATTTTTCAATGTTGCGATTTTTAAATTTTAGATTTTTCAATCTTTTGATATTTTAATTTTTCAGTTTTTAAAATTTTAGATTTTTCGATTTCTCGATTTTTCATTTCAGTTCAATATTTCAATTTTTCATGTTTTGAATTTTTCAAATGTTTCCATTTCTTAATCTTTTGAATTTTCGACTTCCCAGTTTTAGATTTTTTTTTCAATTTTTCGTTTTTTCAAATTTTCGATTTTTTAATTTTTTATTTTTAAAATTTTTCTGTTTTTCAATGATTTGATTTACCGATTTATTGAGATTTGGATGTATCGATATTTTGATTGCTCAGTTTCTCGATTTATAAGTTTTTCAATTTATAACTTTTTTTATTTTTCCCCTTTTAGATTTTTCGCTTTTCCAATTTTTTAACTTTTCGATTTTTGGGTTTTGGCTTATCGGTTTCTCAATTTTTCGATTTCTCGATCTTCTGATCTTTCGATTTCTCAATATTTCAATTATTCAATTTTTTATTTTAACTTTATGATTTCTCTTTCGATGTTTTGATTGTTCAGTTTCTCGGTTTATCATGTTTTCAATTTTTAACTTTTCGATTTTGGCCTATTTCGGTCTTCCAATTTTTCGAAATTTTGACTTCTCGATTTCTCAACCTTTTGATTTTTCGATTTCCCAGTTTTCCGATTTTTTACTTTCCGGATTTTCAGTTTTTTGATTTCTCAATTTTTAAATTTTTTATTTTGTCAGTTTTTGGATACATATTTCAGTTTAGAGATTTTTCAATTTTTCCTTTCTTCAGTTTTTCTTTCATTTTTCAATTTTTCGAAATTTCAGTTTTGGGATTTTTCGGATTATCTATTCGATTTTCGATTTTACAATTTCTCAATTTTTCAATTTTCAATGTTTCGAATTCTCAATTTTCCGATGTTTCAGTTTTACGTTTTTTCAATTTTTTTCTCTTCAATTTTACGATTTTTAAATATTTCGATTTTTCAATTTTTCACTTTTCTAAATTCCCAGTTTTTCGATTTTTCAATTTTTCAGGTTTTTGATTTTTCAATTATTCGACTTTTTTTTAAGGTTTCGATTTTTCGACTTCACTTTTTTGATGTTTCGTTTTCTCAGTTTTACAATTTTTTAGATTTTCAGATTTTGGATATTTCCGTTTATCCATTCTTCAGTTTTTCTTTCATTTTTCGGTTTTTTGATGTTTCAGTTTTGGGATTTTTCAATTTTTCGGTATTTTGAAGGTTTTGATTTTTCGACTTCACTTTTTCGATGTTTCGACTTCTCAGTTTTTCGATTTTTACTTTCCGGATTTTCAGTTTTTCGATTTTCCAGTTTTTCGATGTTTCGATTTTTCAATTTTTCGATTTTTGAAATTGTGGAGTTTCAGTTTCTCGATTTTTCGTTTTTCGGTTTTTGAATTTTAGATTCTTGAATTTTTCATTTTTTCGATTTTATAATGTTTCAATATTTTTTATAAACTCTCAGTTTTTCGATTTTTCATTTGTTCAATTCTTCAATTTTTCAATATTTTAGGTTTTGGATTTCTCAATTTTTCAGTTTTTTATTTTCTCAGTTTTTGGATACATATTTCAGTTTAGAGATTTTTCAATTTTTCCTTTCTTCAGTTTTTCTTTCATTTTTCAATTTTTCGAAATTTCAGTTTTGGCATTTTTCGGATCATCTATTCGATTTTCAATTTTACAATTTTTCAATTTTTCAATTTTTCAATTTTCAATTTTTCGCATTCTCAATTTTCCGATGTTTCGGTTTTACGTTTTTTCATTTTTTTTTCTCTTCAATTTTACAATGTTTAAATATTTCGATTTTTCAATTTTTCAGTGTTTTGATTTTTCCATTATTCGACTTCACTTTTTTGATATTTCGATTTCTCAGTTTTTCAGTTTTTTAGATTTTCAGATTTTGGATATTTCCGTTTTTCCATTCTTCAGTTTTTCTTTCATTTTTCGGTTTTTTGATATTTCAGTTTTGGGATTTTTCAATTTTTTGGTTTTTTGAAGGTTTTGATTTTTCGACTTCACTTTGTCGATGTTTCGATTTCCCAAATTTTCAGTTTTTTAGATTCACAGTTTTTGGATATTCCAGTTTTGGGATTTTTCACTTTTTTCATTTATCACTTTTTCTTTCATTTTTCGGTTTTTCGATATTTCAGTTTAGGAATTTCCAATATTTTCGATACTTCAACTTTTCGATTTTTGACTTTTGGATTTTTCGATGTGTCGATTTTTTTACTTTTTCGATTTTTCAGTTTTTGTTTTTTTTTAATTTTAGATTTTTGAATTTCTCGGTTTTTCATTTCAGTTCTTCGATATTTCAATTTGTCATGTGATCGAATTTTTCAAATGTTTCGATTTCTTAATCTTAGTTCGATTTTTCAACTTCCCAGTTTTAGATGTTCTTTTTTCAGATTTTCGTTTTTTAAAACTTTCGATTTTTGATTTTTCAATTCTTCAATTTTTTAAGGTTTTGACTTTTCGACTTCACTTTTTTGACTTTTTGATTTCTCAATTTTTCAATTTTTTAATTTCTCAGTATTTGGATACATATTTGAGTTTTGAGATTTTTCAGTTTTTCCATTCTTCAGTTTTTCTTTCATTTTTCAGTTTTTCGGAATTTCAGTTTTGGGATTTTTCAGATTATTTATTATTCAAATTTTCGCTTTTACGATTTTTCAATTTTTCAATTTTTCGATTTCCAATTTTTTGAATTCTCAATTTTTTGATGTTTGAGGTTTACGTGTTTATCAATAAAATTGTTCCCCTCTTCAATTTACGATTTTTAAATATTTCGATTTTTCAATTTTTGACTTTTCTAAATTCTCAATTTTTCGATTTTTCAATTAATCGATGTTTTGATTTTCCCATTTTTTAACTTGAGACTCTTTCGATTTTCCCATTCTTCGATTCTTCAGTTTTCCGATTTTTTCTAAGGTTTTGTTCGTCATCACTTTTTTGATATTCGATTTCTCAATTTTTCATTTTTTTTAGATTCTCGCTTCTGAACGTTTAGAGTCGACACTAGTCTGAGCGCGCTCTGGTCTGTAGATCAAACAAGTTTTCAGCCGACGTGATCTCTGCGTAATGTACCATTGCTTGTATTTATTAAATTTTATGAGAGAGCTGCTATAAAAAGCTTATGAAGTCAATATCATAAACATCATCTTTCGTCGAACTTTAACTTCCTCTTTTATTGATTAAATTCGACATCTGCACTTTTAAAAATAAAACATACCGCAAATCTTACAAAAAATGTATATTCTTCCTACGGCAGCCCAGCTATGAATAAAACACATGAGACGTGGCTGCGCCAAGGGTCATTTATTTTTTAGACGTATCCGGTCGACACATGGGGAAAATAAAGGGTTTGCTTATTTTCTTGAAATCAAATATTGATGGAATTTTCGAGAAGATTCGATTTCACGAGCGGGAAGAAAAAATACATTTGCTATTAAATTTTTTATATTAAATATGAGGTTAGTTACACATCCAGTATTCAACAATGTGCCTTTTGTGTTTCTCGCGGTAACACAAAGAGTGAACTAATTTTTGTTAACATTTATAACGAGTGTATCCAGGTTTGTGTGGTATTGTTACAATGGTCATGAGGTACAAACATTTAACGAAAAGTTTAACTAAATTATTGACTAATTTAATACTAAAGGTTTAAATTGGTCATGTGCATAACAATGTGAAATTGTGCTGCATATTTTTAATTAAATATCACGGTTAGGCCATGTCCAGATGGGTCTCAAACATAAGGCCGTGCTTAGGCTGCTTGCTGTTCTTGAGAATATACAGCACATTTTCAGAGCAGTCTTTGGAATGATGTGTTATATTGCACAAATACTTTATTTATTACTCAACATTTAATTATTATTATTATTCTTTCAAATAATCTCTAAATATAACATTTATTAAATATATGATTTATATTCAATGATCAATTCCTTAACATAATTACTATATTATTTACTCGCAAATAATTGTAACCTCTAAGTTAGCATCCACTGGAATGTTCCTAACGCAGAGTGTACGAAATCAACTCGGAAGCCATTTTGCGGATTGGTTTTTTCGATTAACATTTTTATAATAAAATAAATCCTTTCCGTAAACTCTGATAACAACAAAGTACAAAGCTAACGAACCAGTAGGTGCGGACATAATTTTCCTTTTCCGTTAACGAAAAATAACCCGATAATCCGCACCTTATCACTGGGGAAAGAAACTCGGTAAAGTGCTCATAAGATTACGAGGACGTGCTGATATATTTTGATCACATGTATTTAAAGGTAACATTTACAAAAATAGGTGAAACTACTCCCTCACTTTCTCACAAAAAGAGGCCTACTATTCGATGAGATGTACAAATTTTTTCGGTACAAATTAAACTTGTCGACATTGTCGCTGATGGTGTATATCGACGAAATCTTAAGACCGTTCTTATTAGGTATTATCTTGAAATTAGGGTTGACGGGGTAAGAATTGGTGTTCTGCAGCAAAAGCGGACGCTTCTGGGAATCGGAACGAAAGGACTTACTGAAGAAGTTCACCATGTGTTTAGGTGTGGATAACCGGATCGACAAAGGACGCTTCGTCGAGGAAAAGGGAGCCTTGCCGTGGAGAAAAGCCAACTCGTTTCGACGCCTCTGCAAGACGTTGTTATTGTACACATTTGTTTGTTTCGACGTGTTCTTGTTGAAGTTGTTGTAGTAGTATTGTAAGATGCTTCCGGCGTTGATGTTCTTTTTGTTGTTTTGCTTGGTCAGGAGGATGTTGTTCTGAATCATGATTTTTGCGGGGTTAGGATAGTAGATCTTTTTTAGGGTGTTGGCGGCGGGAGGTTTTGACTGACAGTTGCAAGTGTAGGTGGCTTGACAGGCTACTTCGCTACGATGTCACACTTCTTGGAGGAACTTGACGGGGCAGACGCCTTGACGGTTGTCACCGGAACGGATCATCACCATACCATCCAGTTCTTCACCTATTTGAATTACTATTTGGTCCCTTAACAGCATCAGGCCGTTGTCACCGTCTGATACTTGAAGGTTGTGGGTCACCTGAAAGAGACAACCTTATGTACTGCATAATTTTAAGATAAAACAATGTGAAACTACAGTTAGATTTAGGAACTTAGTTGACCATATTTGTGATAAATCGCCCTGTATACTGTGTATGCGAAGGTGTTTTTGCCAAATTCTACATTGGAAAAGAAGAAGATCAAGAAGAAAAGACACTAAGATTTTCTCCAATCCTGGGAATTTTTGAGGTACTGATCTAATCAGTGTCTACTCCTCTGAAATTTTCATGTTTTGTTTCGAAATACCAAACCCTTTGTTTGTGATTGAATAATCCAATTAATGACGTCAGCCGCACGGACACATTGAATCTCAACTACGGTATCTTAGTTAATGCGATTTTAGCCACATACGGGTAAACCCCTTCAAGCTTATAGTAATGTTGGCGAGTTTGGATTTTAAACATCACGTTCAGATTGCTGGTGTTGTCAAGTTTGATCCCAAAATCCGATGCCCACCTTGAATGAAGCGCGATTTTATAATCCTAAAATTGCTTGACGGAGTTTGGTAAACATTTCGACGTGAGCCGTCCTCATTATAATGATCTAGTGTTGAACTAGTATTTTATCAACGAGATCGACACTTGTGAAAATATTATCTATATATACAGGGTGTTTCTTTTATTTGATACAACCCCTGTAACTTTTTTATTCTTAAAGATAAACCTGTAGTTCTTTGAGCAAATGTATCATTTTAAAAGATCTTTGTGATGGCAACCTCACATTTACATTATTACTTCCGGTAGAACCGGAAATGACATCAACTTTATTTTTTTTTATGAAACCCTAGGTATATTTTTTCATAAATGGAAAGAATGATTTTTTCTAAAAATCACAGGCAACCAATATTTCTAAAATCAATACTTAAAAAGTTATTAAATAAAATACACGAAAAATTCATATTAATTGATGACAATCTAGTAGCTTGAAAAATTGACACTCATGTCATTTATTCACATAGGTGATCTTTTAAAATGATACAAATTTGGTCAAAGAACTATATGTTTATTTTTTTAAATAAGAAAATTTCGGGGGTTGTATCAAATAAAAGAAACACGTGGTATATAAATCAATTGCTGTTCGTTAGTCTCGCTAAAACTCGAGAACGGCTGAACGGATTTACCTTATCTTGGTTTTGAAATGTCCGTGGAGGTCTAGGGAAGGTTTAAAAGGTGAGAAAAATTCGAATAATTTCCGGTAAAACCCTAAAAACAGCACTTTTCTTCTTGACAACCAAGTGACAATCTTTTATTTCTAAAAAGACAAAAGACATCAAATGTTTCACAGCTCAGAACATGTACTGGAAAATAGAATTTCTGTTTTTAGTATTTTTGTTACTCGCCGTTTAAACCTTCTCTGAATTTCCATAAATATTTCAAGACCAAACTCTCAGCTAAAAGATAAAAAAATTCTAAAAATTTTGCATGGGAATCGCCACTTCGAATTAATTTGAATAGTTGGCGTTCCTGACGGACCTGTCGTCTAACTGACGTGTCATACAAAACTAATTCTTCCGTGCGATTGTGAAAAGTATATTGCATTTCAAGTCGTTCTTTGTTTTTTCGTAAAAAAAACGTCGTTTATTTTAAGAAAAGTCTTGGTTAAAGTGAATTTAGTTACACATTGCGAAAGTGTCTTATTAATTTTGATCTGCCATTCTATTTACCTAGATTCACTTTGTTGGTTTCGACAAAACCTCAAACTTTACCGTTATTCGAGGATTTAATTTGAAGTTTTCAATATTTTAAAATTCTCGAGACAAAATTTACATATTTGATTGACTGTGAAAATAATTCTGTGTCGTTTTATGAAGTTCATTACAATGCCGAGAAGACGACAAGTTGACATAGGTCCACGAAGTCAATCCGCAATGAATTATTTCATGGGTAATTCGGATATGGAAGTTGATCAGCGTTGTGCTCATAATCAACATAATCAAACATTGAAGCGAGACATTGGGTGGTATGAATAAAACTGAATAGATACTCATATTCGAAGTACGAAGTACCTACTTCATTATTACTCTTATATACCTGAGCATCTACTCTATGTACTGAGTACCTACTTGAAAACATTGGATCTCCCCGGACACAAATTGAACATCTACCTATGCGTTTTGTGAGCATTTAATCTAAAAATGAGCGTCGGCGTGGCAAATGACTGAGCTGTCTGTAAAGCAGCTTAGAAAATGAGTTGGATCGTTGTAAGAGTGAATTTTGACTAAACATGGATACTTTCATGAACGTGGAACGCCGTCAAAAGGTGCATTCAGTTTGAAAAACACATTAGGAGCGGGAATATCGAAAATTTTTCAGGTAATTGACTTTTATTTATGCATAAATTGTGCAGTGCGTTTTTTCTAACAGAGAGATTCCCATCTCAAGGTGTCTACCCCATACTAACTTATATTTTGGTAACTCGAGTTTTGCCTTGATGGACACTGTTACAGTTTTCCTTTTTTGTTATATCGAGATGCTACTTGAGCATCATTTGTTACGTACTGAAGTATTAGAAAAACTAGAAATATTTTGACTTGATATTCGAGTAGATACTTCGTATTTCGAGTATGAGCATCTACTGAGTTTTATTTATATCAACTATTGTCAAAAAATTGATCGGCCGTTGTTTCGACAGAACTTCCTTCGCACCAAAAGTATAATGGAACATATTCAGCATTTTCGAGTTGAGTCTTTTCTTCGCACAATTTTGTGATGACCTAATCAACATTTACGATCAACACGTATACCACCTTATTGGTGCAGTGTAATACTAAAAATAACTGTATTGTATTCCCAAAATTATCTGCGAAAATCGAGTAAGCCGTTCCATCAATATTTTGGGGGGAGTAAATAACTATTCTTAACAATTTACCATGCTTACAATAATTTTAAAACGTCTGCAAGATCTCAAAGTATTCATTTCTGCAACTTGAGTTATTCTCTAAAATAAATTGACTGATCCATACATTTTTTTGAGTCACTGTAAAAGCAAATCTAAAAAATATGAATGCAATGATAAATTACGAAAATATACTGATGATATTTTGCACATTTTAGATAGGATTTATTCGGCAAAATCTTGAGATGACGTCATCAAGTTTTTGGGCTTGATAAACAGATATATTTTGATTAAAAACCTACCATGTCAAACAGTAACTTCAAAACGTCTGCAATATTTCAAAATTCAGTTTTGCAATTCTTGATTCAATCAATAAAATAAATTGACTCAGTGATTAATTTTTTTGAGACACCCCCTATAAGCAAAACTAAAAAATATGAATGGAATGATAAATCACGAGTATAGTCTCATCCTATTTTGGACATTTTAGATAGGATTCATTTGGCAAAATTTTGGACTGACGCCATCAATTTTTTGGAGGGAATAAGTAAATATATTTTGAATAAAAATTTATTATGCTTATCATATGTTTAAAACATCTGCAAGATTTCAACGCATTCGGTTTTGCAGATTCAAAATTAAATTGTAGGTGAAACGAAGTTCACAGGGTCAGCTAGTCACTTATAAAACAGTTTCAATATTTGAGGAGTTTGAATTTTTAATCCTTTTTTATTTCCTGAGCGTATGCTAAGGCAGTATAAAATCGAGTCCATTGGGTGACTTGCCCCTTTCATGTTTTCTCGACATTTCATGACCTCTAGAGTACGAAAAAAGTGGTCTGCCGTTTTTGTCTGTGTGTCTGCCATCTGTCCGGATTTTTATTATACAGATAATCTCCGAAACTACTAAACCGATTGTTAAATTTTATACGTAAATTAGGAATATCATATATACGGGAAAACACTAGCCAAAATTTGGCTGAGTACCTCCATCATCATTTGATAACGTCCCCTCATTATATTGCATAATTAACATTACCAATTTTCTATTAAATAATATATTCCTGTACGTACTTGTGGTTTACGAATTGTATTAAAAAATAAAAAAAGTAAATTTAACAAAATTAATCATTTTCTCATTTTTTATTGATCAAATTAAGAACGAGTACCCCATTTTCTCGAAAATGTGAAAATAGGCACGTTTTTATAATACTAAAGTAAGAATAATAATAATATTCAGAACATTTTGTTGTTTTTAATAATTTTAGTACTCTGTTCTGAGGCGATAAACTCAACCAAATCAAATATCTACGTGACATTCTTCCGATGTATCAAGACATAAACAGTTCAAGTTACGCATGTTGCTGATAGGCTATTTCCTGTTGGTGGTTTGCTGTAAATATATTTTACATTGTTCGTATTTGTGCGGCGTTCGGCTAGAAACGGATTTATAGGGATGCTTGTAATGCTGGAGTATAGGCCCCTTTACGATTTCAAGAATGTGCATAATGCAAAACTGACTACCTCCTGGGGTTCCAGTAATTTATGACTTGTAGCCAGTCAGACACCATATAAAGAACTCCCGCCGCCGGACGGTCATGTTTTGTTTTCAGTACCGTTTATCATTCTTATTTTGTTTTTTAAAAGTGTGGGGTATTTTCTACCCATTTATCAGCGAATCTTATAGTTTTTTCAAAATTAAATAATTCACTTGCATAACTAATTGTGAGTGGAAGAATCTTTATTGGGATCAACAGTGCTTACGGTATTCAGATAATTATCTTTAACTTAACTTAAGTTTCAAAATGAAGAGGAGTTGGTAAAATGTTGAAAAGTTTTTTACATCTCAATCGTCCACTTTCGTCTTTTTTTCTACATTTATTAAATATTGAAAATAAGTATGTACATTACATTTTCTAACCTACTCTCATTCATAATAGGAAAAAGAAGGCTTCCAAATAAATAATAGCAGTAGGTCCCTGTAGATCTGCTCCTGGCTGTCCCCCTGGAATTTGCGCTCCCACAGCGCAGAGGCTGCGGGGGTGTTATTTATGCCGCTGGTTTTTACTTTCTAGAGGTTACCACAAAACAATCATCTCAAAATCTAGGTCTTATACTTCGGGCGCGAGGGAATTTTTGTTGAAATAAACTTCGATCATTTTATTAAGAAAGTGAAACCTTCTCGGGGTTCCCAACTGTCTTTTTTTAAAGAAGGTGAAATCTTCTTGGGGATCATGCAATTGTTTTTTAAGAATATGAAACCTTCTGGGGGGGCCTATCTATCTTTTTTTTAGAACATGAAACCTTCTCAGGGGCCCCAACTGTCTATTTTTTACAGAACGTGAAACTTTCTCAGGAGTCCCTCTGTCTTTCTTTAAAGACGGTGAGACCTCCGCTGGAGCCCCAAATGTCTTTCTAAACCTTTTCTTTTTTTAAGAATATGAAAGCTTCTGCGGAGCCCCAACGGTCTTTTTTTAAGTATATGAAACCTTCTCGGGGGCCCAATTGTCTTTTTTTAAAGAAGGTGAAATATTCTCTGGGGTCCCACGCGTGTTTTTTAAGAATACGAAACCTTCTCAGGGGCTCCAACTTTTTTTTTTAACAACGTAAAACCTTCTCGGGGGCCCCAACTGTTTTTTTTAAAGAAGGTGAAATCTTCCCGGGGGTCCCAACTGTTTGTTTTTAAAGAAGATAATACCTTGGGCGCCCCAACTGTATTTCTTTCTTTTAAGATGGTGAAACCATCTCGAGGGCCCCAACTGTCGATTTTTTAAAGAAGGTGAAATCTTCTCAGGGGTTCCAACTGTCTTTTTTTTAAAGAAGGTGAAACCCTCTCGGGGGCCCCAACTGTCTGTCTTTCTTTTTAGATGGTGAATTCTTCTTGGGGGCTCAAAGTGTCTTTTTTTAAGAATATGAAACCTTCTAGGGTTCCCAACTGTCTTTATTTCTTTTAAGATTGTGAAACCTTCTTGGGGGTCCCAACTGTCTTTTTTTTTAAAGAAGGTGAAACTTTCTCGGAGTCGCCAACTGTTTTTTTTTAAAGAAGGTAAAATCTTCTCTGGGGTTTCAAGTACCTTTTTTTAAGAATATGAAACCTTCTCGGGTGCCCTAACTTGTTTTTTCTTTAAGAACATTAAACCTTCCGGGAGGGCCTGACTGTCTTTCTTTCTTTTAAAATGGTGAAACCATGTTGGGGTCTTTTTTAAGAATGTAAAACCTACTCCGGGGTACCAACTGTTTCTTTTTTAAAGAAGGTGAAATTTTCTCAGAGGTTCCAAGAGTTTTTTTATTATAAAATTTTCTCGGGGGTCCCAACTGTCTTTTTTTAAAAACGATGAAACCCTCTTGGGAGCCCCAACTGTCTTTTTTTTACAGAAAGTGAAACCTTGTCAGGGGTCCCAACTGTCCTTTTTTATAGAAGGTGAAACCTCCTCGAGAGCCCCAACTATCTGTTTTTCATTTTAGATGTTGAAACCTTCTCGGGGGCTCCAAGTGTCTTTTTTTAAGAATTTGAAACTTTCTTGGGGTCCCAACTGTCTTTCTTTCTTTTAAGATGGTGAAACCCTCTTGGGGTCCCAACTGTTTTTTTTTTTTAAAGAAGGTGGAATTTTCTCGGACGACCTAAGTGTCATTTTTTTTAAATATAAAACCTTCTCGGTGGCCCAACTGTTTTTTTATGAATGTGAAACTTTCTCGGAGGCCCCAACTGTTTTTCTTTGTTTAAGAAAGAGAAACCTTCTCGGTCCCCCAATTGTCTATAATTTTACAGAATATAAAAACCTTCTCGGGGGCCCCAACTGTCTTTCTTTCTTTTTAAATGGTGAAACCTTCTCGGGGGCTCCAAGTGTCTTTTTTTAAGGCTATGAAACTTTCTTGGGGTCCCAACTATCTTTCTTTCTTTTAAGATAGTGAAACCCTCTTGGGGGTCCCAACTGTCTTTTTTTAAAGGTGGAATTTTCTAGGACGGCCTAAGTGTCATTTTTTAAATATAAAACCTTCTCGGGGGCCCCAACTGTCTTTTTTTGTTTAAGAACGAGAAACCTTTTCGGGGTCCCAATTGTCTATTATTTTACAAAAGATAAAAACCTTCTTGGGGCCCAACTGTCTTTCTTTCATTTTAGATGGTGAAACCTTCTCTGGGGCTCCAAGTGTCTTTTTTTAAGACTGAAACTTTCTTGGGGTCCCAACTGTCTTTCTTTCTTTTGAAATGGTGAAACCCTCTTGGGGGTCCCAACTGTTTTTTTTTTTAAAGAAGGTGGAATTTTCTCGGACGACTTAAGTGTCATTTTTTTAAATATAAAACTTTCTCTGGGGCCCAACTGTTTTTTTTTATGAATGTGAAACTTTCTCGGAGGCCCCAACTGTCTTTTTTTGTTTAAGAAAGAGAAGCCTTCTCGGGGCCCCAATTGTCTATTATTTTACAGAAGATAAAAACCTTCTCGGGGGCCCCAACTGTCTTTTTTTCTTTTTAGATGGTGAAACCTTCTCGGGTGCTCAAAGTGTCTTTTTTTAAGAATATGAAACTTTCTTGTAGCCCCAACTGTCTTTCTTTCTTTTAAGATGGTGAAACCCTCTTGGGGGTCCCAACTGTCTTTTTTTTAAAGAAGGTGGAATTTTCTCGGATGACCTAAGTGTCATATTTTTAAATATAAAACCTTCTTGGGGGCCCAACTGTTTTTTTTATGAATGTCAAACCTTCTCGGGGACCCCAACTGTCTTTTTTTGTTTAAGAACGAGAAACCTTCCCGGGACCCCAATTGTCTATTATTTTACAGAAGATAAAAACCTTCTCGGGAACCCCAATTGTCTTTCTTTCTTTTAAGATGGTGAAACCTTCTCGAGGGCGCCAACTGTCTTTTTTTTTTAAAGAACGTGAAACCTCGGGGACCCCAACTGTTTTTTTAAAGGTGAAATCTTCTCGCGGGCTCCAAGTGTCCTTTTTTAAGAATATGAAACCTCCTCGGGGGCTCCAACTGTCTTTTTTTTAAGAACGTGAAATCTTCTCGAAGGCCCCAACTGTCTATTTTTTTACAGAAGGTGAAAACTTCTCGGGGGTCCTAACTTTTTTTTTTTGAAAGAAGGTGAAGTCGTCTTGGGGGGGGTCCCAAATGTTTTTTTTTTAAAGAAGGTCAAACCTCATGAACCCCAACTGTCTTTCTTTCTTTTAAGATGGTGAAATCTTCTCGAGGATCTCAACTCTCTTTTTTTTAAAGAAAGAGAAACCTTCTCGGGGGCCCCAACCGTCTTTTTTTCTTTTAAGATGGTGAAACCTTCTCGCAGGCCCCAACTGTCTTTTTTTTTAAAGAAGCTGAGACCTTCTCGGGGGCCCTAACTGTAATTTTTTTTTTTCAGAAAGTGAAACCTTGGAGGTTCCAACTGTTTTTTTTTTAAAGAAGGTGAAATCTTCTCAGGGGCTCCAAGTGTCTTTTGTTAAGAATATGAATCCTCGGAGGCCCCAACTGTTTTTTTTAAAGAAGGTGAAATCTTCTCGGGAGTCCCATGTCTTATATTGTGATTAATACTTTCTGTATTATTTTAACTCGATAGAGGTTATCACAAAAAAGTAAAATTTTGTAAAAACAATCTTTATACATTTTCAAAGAAGCATGATTTATTTGTTGGATTATACTTCTAGGACGAGGGAAGTTCTGTCGAAATAAGTTTCGGCCATTTTTTTTAATAATGATTATACGAAAAAATATTCTTTAGAAAGTGTAATATTTACGTGAGATATGTGTTTTCTCTTTGTAAATATATCATCAAAACAAGTCTGAAGTGTAGCTGAATCTAAAATGTCACCAACATTTAAACTATTTACTGAATATTTTGTCCTTTGATTATTCTGCCGCCCATCTATCAGCACTAACACAGTCCCTGACCGCTCCTAAACTTTCCACAAAATTTTCATTTCTCCTACCCTTTAACGGCTCTGCGGTCACATTCTAATTAGATTCGCTCTCCACGTTAGAAATCCTCTAATGGGATCTGTCGGAGCACGAAATAAGTTTTCAATTCGATAACGGCCGTCGATTTCCCAAGAAAGGAGTAGCTCCCAGATAGAGCTAATCTAATCGCGGCCGTGACGAGGCGAACACCAGCGATACCTTTTGATGTGCTCCTTACCTGCAGCGGTTTCTCCCCCGGTGATAATTTCGAGACGTACTTAGACGGGAAGAAGCCAACCCTTCCAAGGCATTTCCCCTTCCACCAATCCGGATCCGAAGTGTCAATTACAGTGACTTTGTAACCAGCCTTCAGGTCAAGTTCGTCTTGATGTCGAGACTTGAAGTTGTAAAGCACCACGTACAAGTTCGTGGGCAACAGACGATGAGACTTCTGGAAAACGCAACGATTAGAATTCGATAGGTGCTAGAATGTGATGTACTTTTCCGCCCACCGGACTCGGACAGGGCGAAGTACTCGCAGAAGAAGGACTCTTGTCGTTCTCGTCGGGGAGTTCTACAGAAGACATGCGGATGTTCTTCGCTGAGAGCAGTCGACGGTTGTGGACCGGACTCGAAGGAGCTAGAGAAAAGCCAGTTTTATTGAGTGCTGGCGAGAAGACTCGGTTGTGCTGCAGAGGATCAGATCGAACACTAAAAGTGGCAACGGTGGGCGATTTTTACAAAACAAGTGTATATCACAATTTAGAACAATTTCGTTGCTTTTCGTTCACGAGAAATTTTTTCAAAATGCGACTAAACTTAGTATAGTGCGACAGGTAATTCATGCGGTTATGTAAAAATTTTGTGCAGAAGGTGTCTAAGTAGAAACTTAGTCTTTCTGATATAGTGTTAGATTCTGCTTTGAAAAATTTTGACTTGAACGAAAAACTGATTTTTTTAGTTTGTTCTAATGTGCAAGATATCAAAGTTTTGTAAAAATCTGGTTGTCGCCATTTTCAGGGATCGCTCCGACTTGGATTACTCAAAAATGCAAAATGCATACTTGATTTTGCTTTGAGGTCACCTCGAGTGACGTGGTGGTTGTGAACGGACCTTGCGGGAATGGCAACTGGGAACATGCATTAGTTAGAAAAAGACTAAGAATAAAAAGAATCGTAAGTTGGTGGTAGTTTGGGGTGCATTGGAAAGAGCTTGTGCAACTGCGAGAACTAAGTAAGCCTGTAAAGTAGAAGACGCCACAACAGAAATCAAGCCCTTCATACACTGGATTCTCGACGATGAGCTCTGATTAGAGTGAGGGTCGCTCGCCACGTTCGCCCCGTGGTGTTTTCTCCTTTGAACGTGTTCGGTGCTCTCGGGGGAATCCAAGGACAAACTCTTCATTCTCAAGTTCAATTTTTGGCGGCGTGGCGAATGGGGAGCTAACAGAAATTGCCATTACGTCACGTTCTAAATCCGTTTACTAGGTTACACAAGACACAGGGCAATAACATGCAATTCCATCAAGTGCAGTGTTCTCGACAAGTGCTGATTTCTACGAATTATTGGAGTCTACTATGCGAATACTTGACCTCGTACTAAATTGTTCTTTGGGAGGGCCCTCGAGGGATTCAATATTCGCATACAAGTGGTTCTATAATGTTATCACAGGTTGGCTCAAAATTCGATGATGTCACGTGTCGTTGGTGTGACTACATGAGAAATGTGAGGCGACCTGTACTATTCTAAGATTTCGGCTACTGTGAACTGTGATAAGCGGCTTCAAGAGCTCTTGAACCCGCCGGATGATTCTAAAATCTCTTTACTTTTATACAGACCGCCGTCGTTGATTCCCATGTTAAGACAAAACGTCACAGCACTGGGAGAAGACTTCATGCTTGTCCCTGACGAAACAACACCAAAAACTGTTCTATTACTACGTTTACACGACATTGATAAACACTACAAGCAAACGTGTAAACCTAGTAACGCAACACTACTAACACACATTTAACTAGTAGTGAGGGTGGCGGGGACGGGGATTGCTCTGGGGGATCGAATTTTAGTTAATCTCAAAGAAACAAAACAAAATCACCTCAAACTGTTATCTTTCGAAGCGTTACTTACTCTTACTTCTACACCGTAATTAAAGAAACGTTCAGCTTCGCAATTTTATTTATCACAGTTGGAACAATTTAACAAAAATAAAGAGAACGAAACGATAACAAAACAATCAAAAAATAATTTGAGCAAATTGCTGTAGACTATCGGTAGAAGTTAACAATATAATGATAAGTTGTAAAAAGGTTTATTTTTTGGGCTTGCTGCCCTTTTTTAGGATGGGCTGGGCCTTCCCCTTCGAGGGTGAGGGCGACGGAGGGGTGGGGGGTAGGTCAAGGCCGTTCTTGTCGTTTAATTGCGGACCGATGCACAACGGCTGTCCGAAAGGACGTGTACCAGAGGCATCTTGGGAATTCCTTTCTGAAAATTCAAGTACAAGTTGGACGTTAGTCTGAGATTACCTGATCATATTTCGGAGATGACTGTGCGAATCTTCCGTTGTTTGACGAAAACCCACAGGTATTCGTCAGACAGGGAAATCGCAGTTGACGTTAAAAAAATCTCATTTTAGACGGTCTTTATTGTTTTGTTTTACTCTTTCGCTCCATCTCCCTTGCGTCCACACCTGTTAGAGAATTTTACAGCATACTGAAAGTTGTTATACATTCAAGGAAATAAGACGTATTTACACGAAGTGGTGTTTTAATCACAGGCAAGATGAAAGGAAACTGAATAAACACTCCTTGTTACTTTGTCATCACTACCAAAAGAGGCTGTATTGGACCTATGAAATATTTTAAAGAAAAATTCCTCAGTTACTCATATAAAATCCTTCATATTTTTTATTCTTTGCTTTTTTACTTCCAATTGCCTATATAGAACAAACTGGTATTTTAATCTGTATTTTTAACCAAAATACCCTATTTTGTTTTTTCTTTTCTAACTGTCTGTACAGGAGAGATTAATATTTTTTAGGTTTAAAAATTTACAGCTTAAGTTCTCTAAAGAATCATAAAAATTATTATAGGACAGATTAATATCTCATTTTAACAAACTTTATGAGATTCTCGAGTACTAACGAAGGCTATAAAACAAGACATAAAAATCTATTTATTTAGATATTTATCGGTAAATACGAGTATATAAGTAGTATAATAGATTTTTGGATTTTTTTTATACGATACTTATAAACCGTTCAAGATGTTTTTAGATAAAGCGAGCCATGATAAACTCCTTATTAAATCCTGAAATAATAATTATTTACTTCAGTGCTTTGAATCGTAGTTCCTGGAATGCAAAATACAAAGTGTGAAATTACTTGCGAGAGATTTTCTTACCCTTAAAAACAACTTAACCTAATAAGATAAATTTCATTGTTTATTAAGGATCTTTGCATTTACGAAATTGGTTGCCAACCAAATTACTAGATTACCATGGTCTAGCTTTATCTAAAAACATCCTGAACACTACTATAATTTAATAATTGTGCACTCAATTTTGTTGGTCAAATTAAAAATTTAAACTGATTTATATTTGACAATACATGAATGTCATTATGAGCTCACTAAATCCCAGTAAATAGTTCACAGGCCAATTTAAAGATATTGTTACGTTGATTGGGTATTTAAAAAATCGGCGTGGGTAAAACTCAACAATTTATTTCTATTTAAATCCATACTTCCCTTCTAGATATTCCGCGGTCGAGGTGTTTTTGGAGTACCCATCGCGACTTCCCCTTCCAGGCATTTCTTTAGTGAACGCCGCCCGGCCGCCGTCACCGATGATGAATTAAATTATATTATTTATTAACTTGATTGTAAAAATATAAAAGAATAAAAAGTATGAAGGATTTTATATTAAAAACCGAGGTATTCTGTTTAATATATTTAATTTTTCCTAAATAGTCCAATTTTAGTAGTGTCATTCCTCTTCACTTTAGTTATTACTTTGTCTTTTCTCTTTTCCATTGTGCACGTACATTATTGTGTAGGAATGTTGACTTTATTGTGTACTGAAAAATGAATAAAATAGCCATGCATAGTAGCCATGTCGTGCTTCGAAGTCGTATGTCTTAGAGAAAGTTCGTGGAGAGTAATAAAAGAGAGATGTTTTTTGTAGCAGCGGTCTGGTAGCAAGTGCACGTAATGTAGTTTTACCTAAATATCAGAGCGATATTGGTGTATTAAATAACAGCAGCCACGTTCGAAGCGCATAAGAGTCGATTTCCGAACACAGCAGTGAAGCTTGCAAATTTGCAGCGAACAATGTCAATCCTACTAAAACTTATATGCATCCTGAAAGTTGGTTTAATCATGTGTTGCATGTACGTGCATCACTTTAATTACCCAAATCTTCAATGTAAATTAGTCCGGCGTGAACTTTAATTAAAGTGGAAAATTTTGAACAACCGTGGAGTATGAAGATAACTTAATGCAGATCCAAGAGACTGGAGTTATTATAAATATTAATTTAATCTTCCGGCGTAGCCGACTCTCTTAATGGAAGGAACTGCCAAAATTCAACCAACTATTTGCCTAATGTAAAGACGTCATGAATTTCACCAATTTGTTAATTACCTCTAGGAAAACGTGACACTAATCTAAATAATATATTGTTGTCACTTCTGTTCCTGATGTTTCTCTAACTTTTGCGAAACGTATCGAGTGGCAGCTTCAGATGTCCCGGAGTTTGTTTTTGCCGGGGTTGTTCGATTCGGTAAAAGTTCGAATCGTTAGCACTAGTTTGAAGTTTTTAATGACGAAATCATTTCGGAAACAGTCTGCGACTTGTTTGTTTTCAAAAAAGCTGTCACCGAATTATTTCGACATTATTCTGTGCTAGAAAAATTGCTCGATGGTGGAACTTTTTGGTGTAAATGAAGCTTTGAGCACAGAAATGTTTGCTTGTTAAAGTTTATGGGGTTTTATGCAGGCAGTAATGCCATTGGTTTATATATGCATGTAGAAGCAAAGTTTATGCGCATTAATTATAGTGTATAAACGTGGTAATTTACTTAATTTGCATGCAACAGATGATGTGTATAATCGCATGAGAGGGTTCTTGGTAGGTTAGGAAATTTAAAATGTGTTACTAAGTCAAATGGGAAATTTCAAGGAAACTTTTAATTAATGTTAATTAATGGCTAGTTTTTTATTTTGTACTTGAATTTTATCTGGATCTCGTTGTTTATTGTTATTTGTTGATTTTATTTTTTCCTATTTTTGTTAATTTGGTCGTTAATTTTCTTTTTGTTTTTACAGGTTACTTGTTTCTTTCTGTATTTATTTTATCACGTTTCATTATTGATCACTGTATTCTAGAATTCGTTTTTTCATTGCGTCTTTTTTAGTTTTTCTGTTTTCGGTTGCGTTCTTTATTTCTTGCTTATACATTTTTTTTTTGGCAACGTCGTACTTCTTATTCTTTGTGGTAGCTCAGTCTCGGATTGTGCCCCCGGGACATCAAGAAATTTCCCGGTGGACCCCGAAAAGTCTTTTTTTTATACAACACATTTTTTTCATATTTAGGATGTTATAATTACAAATGCAATAAATAGAAAGCATCTTTTTACTTTCAGAGCGTACTCAGTACGGAACAATAGGTCTCCCGTTTCCGTCTGTCTGTCTGTCTGACTATATGTCTGCCGTCTATCCGGATTTTTATTAAACAGATAATCCCTACCAACAACTTGTTGACGTCATCTCCAAAATTTGCAGTAGTGATTATTATTATTTAAATTTTATAAAATAAGATACTCCTGCATATGTAGTTGTGAACCCCTGTTGAGTTTTTATCGTAAAAAAAATGAAAATTGCAAAACCTAATGCTGTGAAATTTTGCAAATATTTTAAGTTTATCGTAAGCATGGTAAATTGTTAATCAATTTTTTTTTTCGTTTATGGCTCTCTAAAACAATAATCACATCATTTTACAATTTTGCCCAATAAATGTTGTTTAATTTATATTCACCAAATATAAATTTTGGTGATTCCAAAAGCATTGTTTGTTATATTAAACCCAATTCTCATCAAAATGACTCTGGTTTAAGGATTGAATTATGGGACATTTTAGATGAAATTTCTAAATTGAAAGTAAAGTACTACGTTTCACCTCACATTTTTTTATCTATTTAAACTATTTTTTTACCTATTTTTTCCTCCAATTTAAGGTACTGTATAATTTTTCAAGCAAACAGGCCAATTTTGACGTTGAAGTTGTTTTAATTGCTTTTTTAAAATAAAAAAGCCAATTTTTGTCGTGAAGCTTTTTAATGCATTTATTTAACTTTTCACCTCATTTTTAAGGTTATTTTTAAAAAGTTCTGGATTTGTAAAGATTTTGACCATTATTCCAGAGGATCCATATAGAAACCGCTGATTTT